CAGTTACATTCTTTTGTGTTCACTAGTTGACGATTTGTCAATGGTCGGAGGACAATAGTTCGGTATAGTGTTACACATGGATTGATAAAAAGCACACCTCTTCCCTTTTCCTGTCTTTCTACTGAATTTTACAAGCCAGGCGTGTCTTGGGAAGTACGAACGTTGTTGCACGTAAACGTGACGTGTGTCGTTTTTCGTCCAACGCGTTCAAATATGGTTTACCCAAGGAAGCCTATTGTTTCGTTGACAGGTGTGTTTTCACACACGTTTGTCTTGTCAAACTTCCATGCAAATGAAGTATGTTTGAAACAAAGGTTATAGGGTCCAACTAAAGGTATGGCGACTACATTCAAAGAACCTTTTCGGCAATTCGTCAACGGTAAAAAGCGTTGAATTGCGACACGTGGAGTGATTTGTATGTGTATTACCTCCGTGTGTATACAGCGCTATGTGAACTAAGCAGTTGTAACTTGAGTAAATATACCTCATGTTTATGGAGGGAAGGGTGGAATGCCAGTACTGTAACTTGTGACCCGACATCTGACACTGTGAATTAACTCAGCTGTAATACATCTGTAATTGTTGTACAATTTTGTATCGTGCAGTTGCACAAAAATTTCACCAACTTACACTGTGACTGAAGAAGTTTCCTATTTTATTGTGGTTATATGATATATCAGTACAATGTACTTTGTATTTTATAGGCTTTTTAGCAATTAGATGTTCACACACTGTACATGTATAGCATTTTCACAATTTAGATGTTAGCCATCTTGCCCTAATTGTAGCTGTATGTACTAGTACATTGTATGTGCATTTCTTTCTAAGAGTGACTCATATATATTTTAGTTACCATAATGCCACAATGGATACATTGAGTCCTGTGAATCATCAACTATAAAAAGCAGGAAGTACTCAAATTCATAGAATAATGTTTTACCATAACCTGGTAAGGTGCTGGTCAGTGTTAGAATCATCACATATATGGAAATATACATTTATGTGAAGGTAATGTAACATTAATATGATACACAATGGATGAGTCAACGTTTGGAGGAACATGTATATGTTTGTTTTAATTTGGCTAGTTTTACCTTGTGTAGGAGAAATAACTCTGGAAAAGTATGCAAGAGATTGCAAATTGGGAGCCAAATAGTTGACACTGACCTTTAAAGAATAGGACTGTAGCCAAGTTTTCAACTTAAAAGGTCTGCAAGTATGCAAGAGCAGCAAAATAGGATCCTACTGAGAAGGCCAAATTTGGGATTTTTGGCTAACTGACACTGGCTGTACGTTACAGTTCAAGAATGTTTTATTGAAGGAAAATGTTGGATTGAAGAATGATGACACCTGTTTGGTTGTAATCGTCAGCTTTCTTTTGCTTATCAGAAGTTAGTTTTGTTCTCAAGTCATACATTCAGAATTGCTCCTTAATTTGACAGAATGGTTTCAAAGATACAGGATGGAAAAACTCTGGTCTAACATTGTACCTTTTACTTAATGTTAGGCTTGTTACATTGTATATAAAAGATAAGGTACATAATACAGAAGTTGTCAGGCTGGTTCTGGCACCTAATTAGTTTGATATAAATCACAGGCTGTCACTAATAAGTTTAGCAAGCACACAATAGACACCTTTTACTTCTGAACGTATTGCTTTGTACTATGTTGTTAAATAGTCATAAACTGTATCTACATTTAGCTGACAAAATTAGACAACTTTAGGAAATGCCTCTAAAACAGCTAAGGTTGATGTTTCAGACTAATTTGAAGGCTGAACCAATTGCCTAATGACCATGTCAGGGGGTCAGTAGAGACAGGGAGCTTTTTTTAATTAGACACACATAATTAGCAACAGAGCTGTCTGTCCAGGTTATGGTGTCAGGTTGACCCTTTTAGCTTTACCCTTTCACCTTTTAATATATATTCTTGGTGTTATTTATTATATCATATCTACCCTTGAACAACAAAATTATTCGGTATTCTTCTACAAAGGAAAGAATTAGCTACTTCATAGTTGATCATGTCATATTTGATCATGTTTTTTATACTACTAATGTTGTTTTTGTTTTGTATCTCTGCATGACTAAATTCATCCCACCATGTATGAGTGGTAGTGGTAGTTAAGACCATGTCTAAGTGCAGATTTCATGGCAAAGTAAGGGTGAAACAACTGTGAAACAGTCAGTCTACCACAGCTTTTAACACCTAGACATGGTTGCCTTGTAACTGCATGCTTTTTTCCCACCACCCACTGTAATTCTACAACTGGTAATGCACTAATTCATCTTTTGAATTTGATTTGAAACTTGATCGTTCCACCAGGAAATCAGAAAGGCGAGCAAAATGCCCAGGTTCTGCTTGGCTGGGCCCCTAACCAACTTGTCTCCAAAGGTATCAGGTCATGTTTCTAACTCCAAGCCCCTGATTGGTCGATTTGCTGATGTAATCGGAAAAACAGAATTTGCCTATATGAAGTAATTGTGTGGCGGAACAATTTGCTGTAACTGCAGAATGCTAGAGTGGTTGGTGTGCTGCTTTTCATATACACTGTCTGAGGAATATATTACAGCTAAAAGGTTACTATAACTGGCTGGTAGGCATAACACAATAGATATATTACTTGAATCCCGGACAAGCTTTTCTGCATGTATGATATTGTACTTTTGGCATTCAAAATACAAAATGTACATGAAAAGGTTTTCATAATACAACACATTGAAACTAATATTTAACTATTGTATAAGATTGAAGTGAATGAAGTGTTTCACTATAGCTGTGGATAGTACTATATAACACCTTTTATTATTATCATAAATAATCATTGTAACACCTTTTATTATGATCATAAATAATCATGTACGTACACATGTATAGCAAACAGATACACTTGTATCCTTCAACCACCTGTATATGCTACCTGTCTGCCATCACACAATAAGAGCTCTGTTGTGTACATGGTACGAGCCAGGCTGTTGTTGTGGACATTCCGCAGTAATTGTACCTCTCCATTCCGATCATCGCTTACCTGGTAACCCATGGCAACAAACAACCCACCTGTGTAACCACCACTTGTTGTAAATATGGTGGGTAACAGGTAGTCTCTAGCAGACTAACTATGCTGGCTATATATAGGAGAATATTTGCCAGGGGAGTTTGGCTGCCTCAAGGGGTTTGACTGGCCGCGGAGGGAAAGAAATAACCTTTCCGTGGCCGGACTCCCTTGGCCAATTTTACTGTCTTTTTTGCCGAAATGCGAATTCTACGATCCGTATTCCCGTAGAAAGGCCTGGTGGAGGCTAAGTAACAGGCTAGGGCCTGCACTGGTACATAACTAAGTCTTCTTCAAACAGTTTAGTCCATAATGTAGCTTCCACGCATTATGACTAACAACAGTCTTTTCAATGGCGATACAACTATGCAGTACTTGTCTTTTGTTTCTTTTGTCTAAAGTTTGAGCAGATATTCGGATACTGTCAGGGCAGATCTTAAGAAACAAAGGTCTGAAAGACAAAACTGCAACCCACAGAATCTGCTGTTTCTGTTCCACAACCACGTCTTTTCCTATACTCGGTCCTCCATTGTTGTAGAAGATCTTGTCCCCTTCCCCCTTTTAAAGTCACAAACAGTGTTGAATTTCCGTTATAATGTTGTGATAACACATGTCAATGATTTCAGTAGCCTTCGGAAAAAGCCAGAGTGTGCCAGGGTAAAGGCTTGTGTCATTTGTAGTCCAAAGTACAGATAGTTGGAGCATACGTACGTGTATGTGGGTTCAATAAAAGGGGAAGGTTCAGTAATGATTTATTATTGGTGTCCTTGAAACCGAGCTAGGCAAACAAGAAAGCCTAGAATAGATTAGCCAATAGGGTGGAACAATTAAGACGGACTACTTTAATCTGGTTTTCTGACATTGTGTGGGTGAGTTGCCACAGAAAGTCGGACAAATACACGGCCAAACATACGCCATAATCCGAAGTCCACAGGATTATACGGGCATGGCACTTTACCCTCTATTGTCCCCGGGATTACCACCCATGTGCGTCACAGTTAGACTATACAAACTTCGCTGACCTCAGTGCCCACTTCTGTCTACAAATCTTCCTGTACGCTGCCTTTCAGGCTTTGTAACAGAATCAAAGTAATTCTTTTCAAGTTCTAAGAGCTTTGCAGGGTGTTTTGGACTGGAAAATTTGATGATTAGCATGAGAGTGCTGTATTCATGTGAAATTTATCCTCAGCTGACTGTGTTTTTTTCGTGGGGCAACAGAAGATCAGTTGTTTGGGTAAAGTATTAGGTCAGCCCTGTGTCCTCACTGTGGTGCATGTGTAGTCATGTGTTCAGTCATTCTGTTACACAAATAGTTACAGTTAACTTAAGAGCCTTAAAAAGGATCAGTCAACCAAAATATGTTTTTGAGAAAATAGATTTTCCCATTCTTGGCACTCTTCTTAACAACAGACTTTATAATGCTTCAGATCTTTGCAATTAAGTATTTGTAGTGTGTTGGGATAAGTAGAGAATTTGTATTCAACGTCATGATCTGTGATTTTTTCCACTACAGCAACAGCAGCAGAGTAGCCTGTCCACCAGTCATGGCGAGGAGCTATCTTCACCTTCCAGCCATCAACCCTCCAGACTTTTGTCAAGATTTTATGATGACCTGAGAAAAAAGAACCCAGAGCTATTTGAAAGGCACAACAATAGGTCATCATTAGGGGAAAGTCCAGTTTCACCAAGATCAGAGATAACAACATCCCCTAGGTCAGAGTTCACCCTAGGGAATCATGGGAGTGAAGACAGTAGAGGGAGGAGAAGAGCGGGGTCGCTCGCTCGTTCCGACAGCGGACACAGCGTCGCGGAGAGCCACTCCAGCCGGGGGAGCGACGAGAGCCACATGTCACTGAAGGAACGCCTGGAAAAGAACAAGCAGAACATGCAGGAACTTCTGTCCAGACAACCGTTTCCTCCGAAGAGCCTGTCCAGAAGTCGTGAGAATATGACAATGAACCGAGGGAGGTCTGAATCCGACCCGTTTTCAGAAAGGAGAGAGGTGATGACTTCACCCCCAGAATTCAGAACTTCAGCAAATTCTATCATTCCGAGACAAACTCCAAGTCCGAACCAAAGACTGCCACAAGGTGTGAGGCAGAGTGCAAGCCCGAGTGACTTGCCAGCCCGGGGATCTCCCTCCCCACACACCCAGGTGCCGGCAGCAGACTTACAGCAGCTGAGACTTGCCAGGACCAGGAGCCCTGACTCCCACCATGACAGTGCAGTAGACATGGACTCTGTCTCCCTGCAGTCAGGACAAGGTCCAGCTGAACAGTCGTCCGAGGGACTGTCCAACGGGTCCGAACCCTACAGCTATCACAGGGGTAGGTCTTTCTTCAACACCCTTTTCTAACACAATTACGATACATGAATATTCCTATGCATTTTTTATATCTAGCAGTACCATTAGCACAGTATGTTTGTTGTTCTTTTTAAGTTCACCTTTGGACTATGTTGTGACACAACATTGTGTATATCACAAAAAATGTGTTTGTAGTGGGGTATAGGTCATAGATTAGAATGCTGTCCGACAATTTTGCAGAATTTGTAATTCTCACAGTAGTTATACTGTAGTTATGCTGACCCCATTCGCAGTTTTTGATAAGCGTGGCATGTTAATCTAATCAGAGACTAATGTCAGGGCACCTTGTGCACAAAAAAAAATTTCATCACGTAGAAACAATGTAATGTCGTTCCAAACATTATACTATAGTCCTCAGGGTATCCGATATCTGTGGACATGATTTACATTCCATTGAAGTGTTCTCATTTCACAGTACATAGAGAGAATATGTTAGTCTTCCAATGTGTAATGGTATGTAAATATTTTGCACAATCCATATATACATCCAAGTTAAGGCAACAGTTACACTACTAGTAAGTTAGTACCTACTTGCACAAACATTACTACAGTTGTTTCTACCAGTAATATATGTTTAGCACAAACTGTAATAGTGTCAGCTTTCACTTTGTTTGGAAAGTTTGCCATTGGCTACAAAACAGCACCCTTCTGCGTCGTTATACCAGCTGTCACGTCAAGTGGTTGGTCCAGTATTGATTCTGTTTCACAACATTCTGCGCACAATATACTCAGCTTTGGAGAACACCAACTTCCGTCACCACGTACCGGCCGGATGGCGGAATCTAGTACACGAGGACCGTGCAACAGATTTTGCTGTCAAGGCCATTTCATTTCAGTTCATGCTTTCAATTGGACATGGGATTATTTGCCTGATTTCTAAGTTGCTACTACTAGTACAGTCTAGTGAAGGATGCCGTCGCAAAAGCGGCTGAAGATCAAGCCAAGTGGTTTCTGCTGTTGCCTGTGTAAGAGTTTTGTGCTACGTGGTGGGCCATAGTTATATCCATGGGAATGTGTTATGGTTAACACAGGATTATATGCATAATATGTATATGTTAGTGGGTATAGAGCACATAGAATCCTTTGTTGTTTCCATGTAGTAATTTGCTTATGGGGATTTAGGTAAGTGCCAAGCTAGGGTAGATTTCTTGCTATATGTTGCCTGTATGGAAGCATGCTGTGCTTTAACATTGTGTTATCACGTATAGATTTTGTAGTGTTTTTTTTCTAGTCTCAGGCCACATTATAGTGACAAAATGCCATAATTATAAATTGACCAGGTTGTATCTGCTTTAGATGCCAGTGGTATTACACATATGTCGGAGTCCATATCGACCATATACGGTATAATGAAATTATGTTTTAAGAACTGTTGAAGACTGACCATCTGTATGTCATGTATATGTGTACCCTGGCAGGTTCAGTTGTCAACATGAAGTTCCACTATGTTCATGAACATTACACAGAGGGCATATATACAGCTCTGTGCTTGAAGGTATAAGGGTGTAACAAAATCCCTTGGTTATCATAACTGTTTGATCATGTTTATCATCTTTTATATATTTATTGTAGGTTATCACACTGCAGACAGCGATGCAGACTCCGGTATCTCCCGTCCACACCGCCCGGCGGTACAGAGGAGTACTGCAGCGTCCTCCCCAGATGAGTCCGATCCGTCCACAAGGCACAGAGGCAATCATAGGTGGGTGGTTTTTGGAAGTTTCTGCTTGATTCATAGAATAGTATATCATACTAGGTATTTTACTAGGAACACAATGCAAGAGCAAAGATTGTTATTACAATATAGTCCTTTTTGACCTAATGGTTTATGATTTTACTACACAAATGCAGCCAGTCATAAAAGACGATACATATCCATTACTGTTGTAGGGTTCGAGAGCGTCCCCTCTCAGCCAATCACAGAGAGGCTCTACGGCTGCTACAACAAGCACGATCCAAGGCAACACCGCTAAAAGCTGACCACTCCATCCGTCCTGTTGTAGCCAGGCCCAAAGACAGGTATGTGTTGTAAATTTGACCTGTTTTATTATGATGGTTTGTTTATTCAGAGGTAGATATCAGTATTGATATTATTGTAGTTTTCAAGTACAAAGACTCTTTCTCCAAAAAAACATTTTTTGAAAGTCCTGATTTTCTTTTGAGCCATTCCTTAATTATATCTCTCTCTTTTGAAGAATACTAGGTCTTATTACTTAATTTATGTTGTTCATGTAGGATAATTACTGACCTAATTTTTGTTTTCTCTTCCCAGTCCCCACGGTATTGATAATTACTTACAACAAGGTGCTCGTCCCAAGAACGGGATTCTACAGAACGGGAACAGCAGCCATCTGGTCAAGTCTGGTCACGGCAGCGACCGGGAGAACTATCCACCGGGAAACAACCACTCTCCCACCAGGACTTCCCGTAAGGGCCTGCGGAACGGGGAGACGGCCCGCGTACGCTTCATGGACGACGTCGGGGTGTGTTCGGACGGAGATGTTCCTAACGGAGTCGTGGACGGACCTCTTGGTGCCCTGACTAGAGAAGGGGACGCCCGCGTCACAACAGACAGGGAGAACAGGAGGAACAGGAAACGGAACAGTTCTCACCACAGTAACTATTCGCCGAGCCCGTGGTCGGAACGGAACGGAGCGCTGATCCACGAGGAGATCATACAGACAGACAACTTCATCCTGCCGGATACATACATCGGCAGCAGCCCGGAAGGTTCCGAACGTCCGGATACGGCGTCTCCCAGTAATCACAGTTCTCTGTCTCCGAGGAGTCACAACACGCCATCCCCAAGGAGTCACAGCCATCAAAATGTCCAAGTTCAGGTTCACTCTTCGAGCCAGTCCGACAGCACAGTTTCCAATGGCAGTCTGTCATCACATGGTAGAGCACCGAGACCTTCCTCTAGAACTGACCGCCACAGCCCCTCTGCCAGGCCCAGTCCAGCCAACCAGAGACCAGGCAGTAACGGACATCTAGAATCAGACCTACACAGGCATAGAAAATCCCCTGATGTCAGTGGAACTTACAGAAGTTCTTCCGCTTCTCCCTCAAACATTAGTATTGATGATCCTTATGAAAGGGTTGACTTTGACAACAGTAGAAGTAGTAGTAGAAACTCAAGACAACCGACAGGACTGCAAAGTTTAAGAGATGGGAGAGCGCAGGATGAAAGGTACCTTAGAACAAGCTATGTTGGCATCTCACCAGAATCCTTGAAGACATCAGAACCTGAGTATGCCACTGTTGACAAAACAAGGAAACAGAGGAGAGGGAAGGAACGACCTGAGTCAGCAAAGTCAGCAGGGTCATCGTCCTCAAGTAACCCCTGTGTTGTTGAAGAGGTGGATGTTGGGATAGAATCTATTGAGAAGCCTAAAGAGAAGAAGAGGGGTTATACAAGGTAGGCAACTGCTGTCTTGTTTTTTTTTAAACTAACAGTAAATAGAATATTTCTGTGGAGAAGCAGCCAAAATCAATGCAGTAAATGTGGTGATGTTGTCTGTAAACTTAGGTTTGTGTGGTACAAATGTATAATGTACGTTACAGTACATTTCTGGATTCAAATATCCAATAGTATGAAGATATGTATGAGATTTTGCTCCTCTTGACCCATGTGTACTCTTGATTTTCAGGGATCTGGCAGGATTTCCAGATGAAGACCTGCGCTCTTCCCGATCCTCATTGTTTGACCGGATGCAGTCCTTTGGAAAGGCTTCCAAGAAGAAGTTTCACTCTCTGCGGCGAGCGGTCAGCCTGCAGTCTCTGGACCGTCCAAACCAGCCCGCCGAGCCCGAGGCCAAACTGAAGAAGACGCCATCCCTCATGTCGTTGAAGAAGACCCCGTCACTGCGCTCTCTGACCAATCTGAGCTTCCGGCGGAAGAAAGACATGGACCGTTCGCGTCAGTACATGGTGGAGGACGACTTGCACCGCGACACGAAGGCGAAATCAAGCGACCGGCGGAGACTCCGACCCAGCAGTGCCAAGAGTGACAACGTGTCCTCTGGAAGGTAAGATCAACATTTACCGGTACACTTGTGTGCGCACGTACTACGTAACAGTTGTAATGTCTTATGACATAATGTATAGCTCTTCAGTAGAACACTCGTTTAAGGTCATATTTGCATATTCAAGGATGACATCCAACTGTTGTATCGGAAGAGATATCCTTTGCAATGAGCAAATTCTGATGCAACGTTGGCCAAGCATTCAACGAAAACCATGACAATCCAGGTTTCGCACAGGTGCAGTAGATTCTGCCAACGTGTTACTTGTGACTGTAAACTGGGAATTCTTAATTATGATTGACATAGTTTTTGTAATGCCACTGATGTGATTTGTTGTGTTTTACCTGCACACCCAATGGTTGCCTTTGTTTTCATTCATTGGAAATTTCAAAGGCAGCTTTGAAATACATTTGTACAGTGTAGCTTGTTTCCATCAAGTGATTGTGTACTATTGTATACAATGTTTTCAGCTGTTAAAACTATGTGTTCACTTCATCCATTAGTTATTGCTACACTGACCATAATTACAGTAGAACTGTTCAGAGCATGGACTGAGGACATTGTAGAGATGAGATTTTTAAGAAAAACAATCATTATGGTGTCTGCAAGTCCAAGTGATTATGTACATGTATCTAGATCTAGGTCTAAGGAAGGAGTGTTGGTGTTAAGGTTGCTGAAATACAACATTGCAATGTTACCACTAGACTTGTAGGTGTCTGTTTGCCTTGGTGAGGTAATGCATGTACAGTATTGTTAGTTGTACATGCTTGAACAGCTGACAGTTGTAAGCCTTTGTATGGCCAAATGCTTCTACATCAAAAGCTGCATTGAAGTGTTGAATCTGCAAGGTGAACAGTTTGTTGTTTGTGAAAGGTTCTTTGGGATGTGCAGGAATGCTGCCGCTTTGGATAGTCTTTAGGCTATAGTTGAAACAATGGGACAAATAAAATTCCAGGTTTTGTTGTCTGTGTTTTCAACCTTTCTGACTTCTGGTGGTATTCATTGCACAATGGTCCTATATTTGGTCAGAGTTAGGGGTTAAAGCAGGTCACAGCACTTCACTGTAACCCGTTAGGAGGGAGGGGGGCTTTTTAGTGCCAAATGATGCAGTTTATTGTTGTTTCAGATTCATGCTTTAGGACACAGCTCTTTCGTAACATACTACATAGTTCTTCTTTTCTTGTTGTGCTGCTTTTTATACCTCAGGCCACACCAATTTAATTTGTTGGTTCTCGGATTTTTTCAGAAAAAATATGAAGCGACAGGGCGAAAAAAAATAAAAATAAAAACAGGTCTAGGCATCCTATTATAGGCTTAAATGCTACAGAATGAGCCATGAAGTCAACACAAAAGGCCGGGTTAAAATTTAAACATTGAATTTTGAACTTTTAATCAAACCACTGCAATGATAGATGGGAAAACTGTAACAACTAGGAAGAAAAGGACTTTCCTCAACTGTTGGGGGGCAAAACATGAGCATTTTTCAGTTGATTCAGGACCAGAATCAAATTTTTTTTTTTTTTTGCAAATCAGAAAAAAACAAAGAGGCGAATCCGAGAACCAACAAATTAAATTGGTGTGGCCTCAACTTAGGCATTATGTCTAGATGCGTAGGGGCATACAAATGTAACTCAAGAGGAGTTTATGATTCTGCAGTAGCAGTCTTTTGAAAGAAAGTTTTGTACTAAAATTGTGTTTTTTTCTTATATCACATTTCAGCAAAGCTCCTAGTCCTCCCAAGAGGCCTAGCAGTGCCAGGGGTGAGCAGGACCTGGACACAAGCTCAGTCTCGTCCCCGGGGCACTTCAGGACGATTGGTCGGCTGGTGAAGATGATGCCTGACAACACGCAGGTCATTGAACTCATCAAGCCTCCTCACGGACCGTTTGGATTCTACATCGCCCGGGGCAACGAGAAGTACAATCATGGTGAGACTTGACACAAGGATATTGTTACATGTTTTGGATTAGGAACTATTGTTGCCTCCTAAAAGTGGGTCATGTTTTTAACTAGCTTTTTTTTTGGATTGTATAGGAATGCAAAACAAAATTTTCTAGGCAACTAAGTCTTGACATAAGAAAATTTTGATGACAAAAAGTTGACCCACATTTTGAGTATTCCTTAGTATGCAGAACTATGTACTGGTTATACCAGACCTATTTTAGCACCATTGTCATCAAATTTTTCTCTTTACAAATACATGTAGCTAGTACTGTTGCAATATCCATAGCCTCGTTCAAAATGCTGTTTGCCACAGTTACTGAGCTGAAACCCGAAGATAAAAATATACACACAGAATGTGTGAAGCCTTCTTGTAGATTCACAGGTTTATGCTGTTTAATGCTTTTCTTCAGAAAGGCCTCTCTCAACAGATAAATACAGTTAATATATGTGTACAGTTGATATATGGTATAATCTGTGGTGGCGTTTGTTTATCTGACCCCAGCTAATAGTCAAATCCTCACAGAATTTGATTTCAACATGCATTTAATGAATGGCTTATCTGCATTTCAAACATACCTTAATATAACTTTTCCAGTACACTGATTTTCATACATTTTTGCACTCCAGGCGTTTTTGTCTCGCGCCTGAGTGACGGTTACCCTGACAAGCTGTTTGCTGGTCTGCTGGGACTCGGCGACGAGATTCTGGAAATCAACGGGGTGGCGGTGAACACGATAACCCTGGACGATGTGTATGACCTCATGGCGGAAACGAAAGAAAAACTTGTCTTACGCGTGCTTCCTCTGCTAGCTCGAAACGACTGGTAGCCCTTTCTCAGCATTATTCTATGTTGTAGCCAGAAATGGCCAGTAAAGATTTCTCACTAAGAAGAGATAGATTATACATGTAGCAACCATTTCTCAAAACATTTTATCTAGCAATAACTGTTTGGTGACAAATGTTTCTCAGACTATTCCAAGAGCCAAAAGTGTCTAGCAGCAAAGTTTTCTCAAATCATTCCATATAAAAGTGTGACTGAGGAAAAATCCCTTTTGCATAATTTTTTACCCGAACTAGGCCGAAGTGACATTTTTCTAAAATTGTGGTTCCAACAACCTTAAAACAAGAACTGGTAGCAGATATTTCTCAAATCATTCCAACTAGCTTCTCATGATTTCTAGATATTCCAACTAAGCACAATATTTAATTTTTTTTTAGCATTTTGAAAAAAAATGAAAATAGATAAATCATTGGTATTGAAGAATTCTCAAATGTTCTAAAGTCACTTCATGACTAGCAAGTTTCTCAAATCATTCCAAAAATTGTTGTCTTCCATTTTGAACATTTCGAAAAAGGTGAAAACCAACTTTGCTCTGTCTCCGAGATTGATCTTCATTATTGAAGAGTGGCGTATCACCATTCTCATAGCTAGTTCTAACTCCAACTTCCAATTTCGTGCAGACGACATTTTGTATCGTCCTGGTATGCCATTTTACAGGATAAATTTGTTGTAGATGCTGTGAAATGTAAATTACGTGAAGTTTGACACTTCTTCGTGATAGTCCTACTTTAATAGGCCACAATACCAAACAGCATTACAAGTGATAAAAGTATATGACCAGTGATGCAGAAAGCAGTGTTATGTGAAGTTTAGTATGTAATCTGGATCCTATTTTGCCTGGCCAGGGCCATACATTGTACCTACTAACTCCATCCTTTGTGTTATGATAGAATTCTGTTATGTCAAAATTCAGATGACAAAGCAAATAGCATGAGTTTGAGACCAAATTTGTCCATTTTGTAAGAAAAAGCTATAATTTACACACAGGTAAAAGTTTTATTGAACACAGTAACTGCTTGGATTGATCATAGTAACATTTTCTAAGTCAGAAGTTTGTCAAGCACTGTGCCTTACTCATGCTTGTTTGTTACTTTAGCGATGAATATTTATTGAATCTATAAATATCTATGTGTACATTGTAATCTTATATTGTTACCTCCGGGGAAGGAGATATCCTTCCGCGAGGAGGTTTTACTATGGTTTGAAACATTTCTGTCAGCAGCTGTTTCTCGCGATCGGCTGGACGGATTTGTCTGTGGTTCGGTATACGTATTGCTATTGGGCTGCAGATGATGCAGAACGTTTTTGTTTAATTGCATATGTGTTTATGGGCGTCGAAATAAAAGGTTTTTAAGTGCTCCGGACACCCCCGCCATGCTGAAAATGGTAATTACCATGTTGTTAAGGAATGGGGCGGTTGCAGTTTTGGGTCTTAGCATTCAAAAGGGGTCAAACAGAGGGGTGTCTGGTTCCGATAAAAATTTTGGGTGACGGCGCAGCAATGACGGCGCGGGATGACGGCGGGGGTAATGGCGCGGGTGACGGTGCAGGCTGTCAGACTGTGAGACACGTTAATCAACAGTCCATACCGAACCAACCGTCAGTAGCCATCAAACACATACAAACATATTACGCACATAACTTTCATACTACACACAAACAAATAACCTAAACCAATAGAATACAAAAAAAACTCGGAGGTTTGAAATCTACGATTTCCCTTGTTGAAATTTGTAGTTGCTCTGAGTCTCTGATATCAAAAATATGATCTAGATGCTGTGCTGCTTCTGTATTTTTTATCATATGATTCTCGTAATTGGTGCTTAATGTTTTTGTGCCTAGTCAAAAGCTGCCAAGGTCTGTAAGATTCTTAGCTTTGTAGCCGAAGTAGCTGGAGACTAGGTACTGATTTGGCCATGTAGAACATGTGGAGTTGTCCAGTATTTTGGTTATAGCTAAAGCAAACATACCAGTATCCTGTATGACAAGCCTGAAACTTTAGATAATCAATGTGATGAGTTTTCGTCTGTTTTAAAGGTAACAAAAATGTGTGATAAATACATAAGCTATCATTTCTTATGCTACTACATGTAAGTCATGCTGGAACCAATACAAAAGGGCACAGGAATGGGCAGTGTTATGTAAAAAGAGTGTAAAAATCTTTTTTGGTGTAGCTGAATTAGACTAAATCTTGACCCCAACAGTATGGATAGATATGCCGAAGAGGTCAACTATAGTTTAATAAGTGTCTTATTTATAAATCTGACCATATAGATATGAACTTTAATGTATTTTGTATTGTGAAAAGACAGCAATGTACAACACAGTAGTATGGAGTGATCTCATCAGAGCACAGTTTGTATGTGTGTTTGTCAAAAGCCACTTGCCGAATGAAAGCAATAAAGCATTTATAACTGTGTTACCTCAAATACTAGTTTGTAAGACTAATGAAACCAAATGAAGGGAGCATTTCAAACATCGTCTTCCTTCCTTACAGATATTTGTATGTCCTGTACTTGTCTCAGACATGACGTCTGTGATATTTTTACCACTGTGCATGTACTTGATAAAAAATGATTTGAAAAGAACTCTAAGTACTAAGCATTAAGTTTGTATTTTCCCACTGTAACGAATGACATTTTGATGTGTACTAATATGTGTACTTGAAAATCTAAGATAATGGTTACAGACAAGTACTATTATGATGTAAGTGTGTTGACCTGTATGTACACAGTACTTGAACTTGTATGATGATTGTTACTGTGGGCTAAGAGTCTTGTGTGAGACAATAAAATATGCTGTGCCATTTTGGCCTATATTATACCTGTATCTGTCTCTTTATACAACTGCCATACATGTAGATTGACAGTGATGCTATTTTATTGTTTAAGAGGACTACAGTCATTGACTCCAAAAGTGGATTTCAAATATTCAGCCATTATATCACATCTAGTTTCCAGTATATGTCATGTAGTACATGTATGATGAAAAAATATTCATGATAGAATTTCTTGAAAAAAAAACTTGAAAAACAATGTTGAAAATTATGAAGTATCAAATTTATTCATACATGATTCATACACTGACTTAAGTATGCTTATACATGTGTACATCTCATTTTGTCTAGAAAGAAAAACCTAAGATGTCTTATATGATAGGAAGACACAGCATTTAAAGTAGCGCAGTTGTTAAATAGGTTCCCGCGGTTAGTCGTCTCTCCACGTGACTTCCACCTCATCAGTACGAAATCTCTGCGTACACCAGGAGTCGGCCAGGGCTGTGACGTGACCAGTACGGAACATCTCCCACCCTGCCTGGGCAATCATGGCTCCGTTATCAATACAGTATCTGGAAAACAGTGGAATGTATTTCAGTAAGTTTCACTGTCTTAAAATCAAGTTTACATCAACCAAATATAAAGGTGCTGATTACCATTTTATAAGCTTATCAATATGTAATGTTAAATAGAGGATCTTGGTACGTCTTCCTCTCTACTAAATAAGCACGAGTTCTTATATACATGTTGTACTGTTATTACAGATCATATGCCAGCTAGCTACAGACTCAGAGAGGAGAAAGGGGCCAGCTCTCTCTGGCCTATGCACTTGGCAGGTAGGAAAGAAGGCATACCAGCTAGTTTGACCCATTTAGACTATAATGAATAGGTTCTAAATGTTTCATACAGCAAAAGCATAGAAATGTATCAACAAATATGCACAGATTATGCAATCATGGTATCATCAATGTGGAAAGAATTTGCACCTCTCATCAGTGGCGAACACTTTGGCTCCCCTCTCGGCGGCCATGATGCCCATCATCTCCTGTAGTCTCTCGTTACACCCCACCCCTCCCACGATCAGGACCTCCTCTGAACCACAGTGGGCCATCGCTCGCTCCGTAATCTCAACCAGCATCGCAAACACGGTTTCCTGGGGAAGACAGAGAGAAAAATCTCCTTAGGCATTATAGACAAAAATAAGATTCCTGGTGCAACTCAAAGAAAACATTGTCAATTGAACTAGTACATGTATACTGTATACTATAAATTGTGTAATAACTGTATTTACCTGTGTATATTATACTAGTACACATGTATGCTACTACTAGTTGAACTAGTACATGTATACTGTATACTATAAATTGTGTAATAACTGTATTTACTTGTGTATATTATACTAGTACACATGTATGCTACTACTAGTAGTACCCGCATAGAATGACCCATACATTTTGAAAACTAGTTATTGGACTGAAATATACAGAATGTTCTTGCCTATTATCTAATGCAGACAGCCAGCATAGAAAAGAGGGGTAGTTCATTCATGGTTTAATATAGCTCCATGGTTCAACTGAGAATGATAGTGGGCCAAGTTGCAGTACCAATTTTGCTCACTAGATGTCTCTTGTGAGTGGACCAACCTGCAATGAGAAGCACAGGTCCTCTGGTGTGGCCTGTTTGGAGTCTAGCAGCGACTGTGCCGCGTCCTCGATGTACGACAGGATCCCGGAGAACGATACATCCATGCCTTTTACACCATACGGAAGGTCGATAAGCTTTTCCCCCTTCTTGGCCATCTGTTCTATGTTGTACCCTGGGCTGGGGTCATTGGAGATCTGGATGGGAAAAATAAACATCTCCATAATAAAATAACCTGAATTGCTGATATATGTACAAATCTATATCTTGAGGACCTTTGAGTTAAATGTCCATGTTAATAAAATGATGTAAAAGAACATTTTAATAACAAATGTGAAAAACATCTTTAGTCAAGTTACAACAAAACTGAGTGATATTAAACAATTTCTTCTTGGAGTATTGTGTTCTTGTCATTCAAATTACCAGTATATACCACAAGTGTCTTTGAATATCAACTTACATTTACTTATAGGACACTTCGCCTACCTTGAGAACTCTTGCAAATCTGTCCAGACAGTTGCCCACGGCAATGTCGATGGTCTCCCCAAAGATCCGGTATTTCTTCAGCTGATAGGCGATGACCTGGGTGTTTCCTCCACTCACGTACAGGACAACTGGATTCACTGCACCTGCAGGCCATACATGTACAAGAAAGTATCTTTTTGAAACTATACATTAATTTTCTAAACTTCAAGTAATAGAAAGACACAGTACGATAACAAGGCTACTCCAACCAATTTGTAATTGACTCAAAAGACATACCTATGAAACATTCTTTAATATTTGTCTTTCATAACACCACACAAAAAAAGAAACTTTGTGTTATGAATGTGACCAATGTTTTATGTATCCATGTTTTACCTGTGACTCGTCGCCCCATCTCAATGTGCCCTATGCAGTGGTTCACCCCCAGTAATGGTTTGTTCCACAGCTGTGCCACAGTCCTCGCCACTACAGCTGTTGAGACTAGGGGAGCTCCCATTCCTGGACCTGGGGGGTATAGTCATAAATTCATATCCTATCTAACCTATCAAATTCGACCAAACAAGCTTGATTTACGTAACTTTACACAGATTACACATTCAACAACAGGAAAAGATGGTTATGCTGGTACAAAATGAGTGACTTTACACTGACCTTTTGTATATGCCACACAGTCGATGTCCTGAGGTGAGACCTTGGCTATGTCCAGAGCCTGCTGTAACACATCCAGGATGTGGGCCTGGTGATGTTTGGCCGTGTCTCTGGGCAGGAACCCTGCAAAACAGATAAAAATGCAATTATAAGCCTATATGTAACACACAGCATTTTCCCTTATATTCCACCTAAAGAAGTCATCACTATACACCATCACCATGCTTGGATTCAGTCATTTTCCTATGGGCACCTGTTTTGAATTTGCAAAAATCCCATGCACACCCTTGAAGCCCAGAAAGGCAGGCTTGCAAGGTAGACCACCCCACAACATCCAGCCAGGCCAACCGTTTCTGGAAAGCCTACCTTCCCCAGGAGGAGTGATGTAGGTGTGTCTGGGGTTGGATAACACCTCTCCATCCCGAATGATTCCGATGCCCAACTTGTTCGCACTGCCCTCAAATCCGATCACGGTGATTGGCTTGGACCCCTCGGCTCCTGTGATAGGCACAAGTTGGTTGTCAGTAGTATCCTGATTCTACATCTCAAACAAAAACTTGAAGAGACATGAAACCCAGGAGGTTTAAATTATCTACCCTATAACCTTTTTGATGAATACCATTCAAGGCAACCTGTAAGACAGGTTTGACACCTTTAATTTTCTAATTATGGTATGAAAGTGCCCTCTGACATGACAAAGAGAAACTGCATAGAGAAACAGATAGATGGATACAGTATATATCATAATTTTTGACAAACATACATAAAATTTTGTAATCTCTGTAGTCTAACTGTTATATATGATAGTCTCTTTGGTCAACTTTGGGTCTCTTTTTTGCAATCTAATGATTCCATATTACGCATACACATTTCCCATACTTACTACAAAACATTTGTTACAACAAAAAGAGATTATGAGCCAACTTTCTAGCAGAAATACCTTGTTTTTCCTGGTCCATACTCTGCACGTTTGTAAAAGGTCAAGTGTCAAAGTTCACATGCCTCGGGGGTTTACTTCCGGTAGTGACGTCACGAGAAATGTGACAGTGGTGTGGTAGATTCACGACTGTCCTAGAGCGTCGCTTTCGTCCAATAATTCTCTCCTTTTCTCACGATTTCGTCCATTTCTCAAGACTTTCCCATCCAGAGGAGTGGCAGAACGTCTTACCAGATTTCCAGACATCAACATGTCGTTGGAAGATCCGTTTTTCGTCGTGAAAGAGTGAGTATTTTCTTCGCAAATTTAAATGCAACAGTGTGACAAAGACGACGCCAAGATTTAATAGTTTCCTTTTTCCGCAAATCATAATTTGCAGGCTTCCTTCAATATTACAGATCCATGCTACCCGTAGTTATATCTCATATCCCACCAAAATTGTGGTTTCTTGTTTACTACAGTTTAGTATTTGATTGCTTCTGCGATTCGTAGAATTTAAAGCCAAACAACACTTTTGTTTATGTCTACACACACTGTCTATCTTACAACGTGTCAAAAATCTAGTGACGTTACTACGATAACTTTCAGAGATCTACGAAATAGTTGCCGTACGTAGACTGCAGAGGCACTGTTGTTGAGTTCCTCTACATTCTGCAGCAAGGCCAAGTTTGCATTGTTTATCCTACACATACTACTTGCGGTATGCCAGTCACACTCTCACAGACTGGCCAGCCTAGCCTATGACGTGTTTCCTTCCTGGCTGCCAAAAATACCAGCAGCCGTCCCAAAAATATAGAACATTTTCCATGGGTGGGAACACCCTGCCCTCCCTCCGCTCAGTCTTCCCCTCTATATGGCTGCTCCCTAAATGTTGATGAGCTATGACTCGCCCCGCACTCACCGCAGAAGATGTGGGAAGCTTGCTGGGATTTCTGCGGAAGGAGTTGAGGTTTGTGTTAAAAGATTTGAGAGTCGTCCTCTAGGCTTAGATGGAGAGCGACAGATGCTGTGTGGGGCATGCGTTTCACATCCTTGTCTTATGTAGATGAGGATTTATTCGGAGTTGACAGTATGGAGAGTACCCTCGTTTTCTCCTTTGTGGTTCCTTCGCACCTACACAATAAGGGTGTGTATTGTGTCTGGTGTATATCATCTCTGGGCGGCATGTGCGTCAGAATTTTGGGGAGGTCAGAGGAGGAATTTCTCTGTTTGTGTGTCAGTGTTGGCTCCGGCCCAAACCCTGGGACCATGTCATTCCTTTATCAGTACTGTATCAGTTATTGAATGGAACAAGGAAAACCTGTGCATATTGCGACTAATTCTAGGGCACCTGGCACAAGCCCAGTAATTATTATACACTTGCAGTCAAGATATTATCTTGGAGACCAGAAGTTCAATTATTATTGATTGGACATAAATGGACATGATCACATCCCAAAACTGCTGCCTAATCAGTGAACCAACAATGTTATTAGAATATATTTTAGAAAACATGACAGTCATTACATTTATTGCAATAATAACAGAACCACACTGACAGTATTTGTAATTAGTATGTTTTGTTTAAACACTACTATCCAGGCTACACTAGCTGACATGGCGTTTCTGTTTGGCTGACCTGTACCAGGAAGCGGAACTTCCTACATCCTGGGTCATTATGGGATGAAATCCCAGTAACAAATTTGATTCAATCCAATTTAGTAAACCTATATGTAAGCAAGGGTGATCGATGTAGAATCTCCTTGATGCAAGCAAGGAGGTTAAATACCTTGATGCAAGTAAACATTCATGGATTTGGTATCTTAAATTTATTCTTAATCCAATTTTTGGGTGACTGATTACCTTCTTACCACTACATTGTATCATACAAAGAGATATTTTGGGTTAGACCATAAATATTTATTGTGAGTTTAGCCTTCGGTAATATTGTGTTTCAACAATGATTAATGTCTGCCCTACTTTTACACGGAAATTGATCTGGCATAGTATCACATTTACTCACTCTGTGTATCTTACAAATAGGAGGTTGCCTCCATGGCCAGTCCATGATGTTATACGTGGGTGTGAAGTGATGAAGAAAATTCAATTAGACATAATTCAATTTGACCCATATATGTATGCAGCTTTCAATAACTATGAATAATGGCCCAATATGACCCAGGTATGACAGATGTTATTGAAAAGGGAACCAGACACAAAACAAAAACTTTTACTTATCATCCATAGTGACTTCAATAGTAGTCGTGTCACAGTATGATATATTCTTTCTAGAAAACTAATTGACTTTTCCAGATAAATTTTCAGGTTTTCATTGATAATGATACAAATGCTTTCATTCTAATCATAGCAATGTTTATGTCATAAACATTATGAGTAGCCTTTACTCAGATGAAGAAGTATTCAAAGTGCATGTTGTAGCAAACAACAAGAATATTCCTGAAAACTGATTTGCATACAACCGAGGAGGATGTCTTTTGTTCATACAGTACAATAGGGAATGTCATTCAAGTGGTAGAATCAAAAGGGACCTTCCAAAATCTCTTAGCATTCACCTAGCTCAGCTGGCCTCACATGGGGTTTGAGGCCTAGGAAAATAAATGTTGTGTTTCCTGTTTCCCGACCGACCCTAAAAAAAACCGCCGACCCTAGCCTTATTTTTGTGTGGACCCCTGCATATTGCTGAACCAAAACATTTTGCACGACGCTACCGAGAGAATCGCTGTCATTGGTGGAACATCGGGCGCCCCGCTAGCGTTTTGAAGTCGTGTAAACAACGCTAATAATTTGTCTGATTTGTTTGTAAAACAAAGCCATCGACTCCGAAAATAAGTTTAAAAGCCGATACATTTACGAACTAATCGTAGAAAATTCCCTACCGTACTGCACCATCAGCATGCGGCGGCCGCAAAAATTCGGCAACGCGAAAGAAAAATGTCTGGTCCATGATAGCAGTATTTCTCATAAAAATAATGTATATGATTTATTTTGCCTGAGGCTATTGACAGGATCGTCCTGTCAACAGCAGGAAATACTGCACTGCTGACAGGATCGTCCTGTCAATAGCAGAAAATACTGCACTGCTGACAGGACGATCCTGTCAATAGCAGAAAATATTGCACTGCTGACAGGACGATCCTGTCAATAACAGGAAATACTGCATTGCTGACAGGATCGTCCTGTCAGCAGTGCCATTTTTGACACTATTGACAGGATCGT